TGTGAAGTAAGCTAAACTATTATTAGGTGAATGCTAGTGAACGTTTATATAGTAGTGCATTTTTTTATTTCAGTAAATTCTCGAAATATGAAATGAAGATGGCACTAACTACTAAAGAGTTAATAGCTTTGTTAGAAGAAGTTTATTTGCCGCCGAGATTAGATTAGAAAGTTTCTGATGTAGAACACATTGATCTTCTTCTTCTTCCTTCTAGTATGTAGGCTCTAAAGCCTGTTTCTTCTTCAATATTAGCCTTCTAAATTGTTTGAATTATCCTACCATCTTTTTCTTGGTCTGCCAATACTTCTTCGTCCATTTGGTGACTTATCTCGTGCTATTCGTACTATTCTATCCTCTGCCATTCTACTGATGTGTTCCACTCCTGTTTTCGTTTTGTCACCCATCCATTTATGTCTTCTATATTGTATGATCTTCTTGTTTGTCCCCCTATCTCGCCGTGTATGTTAATGTAGGTCTAATTGCTGCTTTATAGACTCTTGTTTTTGTGTCTTGTCTTAGGTGTTTGTTCTTACAGATTGTGTCTTTAAGAGAACCCGCCGCTTTACTTGCTTTTAAGCTTTGCACAGGCAGGATTCAGGTCAGGCTTCGGCACAAACGACCATCTACAAGTTATTAAAAGCCTCATCGAAAAATGTATAGAGTACAATAAACCCCTCGTCCTAATATTTGTGGATTATGAGAAAGCATTCGACACAGTAAACCACCAGACAATGCTAGAAGCTTTAAAAGAGTGCCGAATAGATCACCGCTACACCACTGTCATCAAAAATATCTATGATAATGCCACGGCATGCGTCAGACTCCATGAAGATACACACAAGTTCAACATTCATCGTGGAGTTCGCCAGGGCGACACCATTTCACCAAAACTGTTTACAACATTATTGGAATACATGTGTAAGCGTGCAAACCTAGACGAAAAGGGCATAAACATAAATGGAGAGCAGCTTAGTCACCTCAGGTTCGCGGACGATATAGTCCTGATAACAGACCGCATAGAACATGCCATCGAAATGTGCGAAAGACTCTACCATGCCTCTACACAAGTGGGTTTAAAGATCAATAACTCAAAAACACAAGTGATGACAAACCTTGTTCTGAGTGAGAAGATCAACATAGCTGGAACAAGTATAGAACAAACATCAGCATACAAATATCTGGGACACGAAATTCGCTTAAGTAGAGATAACCAGACCAATGAACTAATACGTAGAATAGGGTTGACATGGGCAGCTTATGGAAAGCTAAGAGATGTTTTCCAATCAGCTCTTCCCATCTGCTTGAAGAGAAAAGTCTTCGATCAATGTGTGCTGCCGGTTCTAACCTATGGTGCGGAGACGCTAACACTTACTAAGACGTCCGCAAACAAGATCCGAACAACACAGAGGGCAATGGAACGGTCCATGTTGGGATTAACCCTGAGAGACCGAATACCCAACACAGAATTGCGCTGTAGATCGGGAGTAACCGACGCAATCAAAAGAATATCAACCTTAAAATGGAACTGGGCAGGGCATGTCGCGAGAACGAAGGACGGCAGATGGACAAAACGCATTCTTGAGTGGAGACCCAGACAAGATGCCTTTAGGAATAGAGGACGACCACCAACAAGATGGACGGATGACCTGAAACGGACACATCAAAATTGGATGCAGGCGGCTCAGGACAGAAATTTGTGGGGTGAACTACGGGAGGCCTATGTTCAGCAGTGGACGAGTATGGGCTGAATGATGATGAAGCTTTGCTGTCGTACTTCTTCAACATCTCCGTAACTAGTTATATCTATTCCCAGATATCTAAACCTTGCTTCCGGCTTTATTTCCCATTAATTTCGATTTTACACCGTAGTGGGTATTTAGTGGGTATTTAAATGTTTGTCATACATTTCTACTTTTCTGCTGATATTATCATATTGTATTTCTTAGCTGTTGTATTGAAGATAGGTGTTAATCTTTAGAGCTCGTCTTCTGTCTCGGCGATTAATGCGGCGTCGTCTGCATAACATAATATTTGGATTTCTTTGTTCCCCATTCATCAGCCATGACCTTTACGTACTGCTTATATTATTTCGTCCATTATTATATTAAAGAGAAGTGGGCTTAACGAGTCACCCTGTCTGACTCCGCTTTGTACTGGTATACAGTGTGTTAGTTTTCCATTTATCTTTGCCTGTATTCGATTATGGAGGTAGATGCTTTCGATGGTTTGTATAATATTGATTGGTATGTTTCTTTTATACAGTAGGTGTAAGACGTCTTCGACTTGGATGCGATCGAAGGCCTTTGTCAGGTCTATAAAACATGCTGTTTTATAGACCTGACCTATCACAAGATATGCTGTTTTATTGTAGTCGATGGCCTTTTCTGTGATTTGTCTTAGTACAAATACGGCATCTACGTAGGATCATCCGGATCTGAATTCTTGTTGTTCATCTGATAAAGTTGTTAGTTTATTGATTTTGTTAGTTAGGACTTTTGTGGTAAGCTTAAGTGCGGTGTTCAGTAGATTTATACCTCTATAATTGTTGGGGTCTTCTTCAACTCCTTTCTTGAACATTGGTATTATTATGCTGTTTCTCCATGCGTCTGGTATCTTGCAGTGCAATATTAGTTTTTGTATAAGCTTTGTCATCTGTAGGGTCATACTTTCTCCTCCGTATTTTAGAAGCTCGTTGGTTATTCCATCTGGTCCTGGTGACTTTCTATCTTTGAGTGAATTTATGACTATTTCTACTTCCTGAAAACTGATTTCTATTTCGTGTCTTAATTCGGGTACGTTATTGTGTTGATTATTATTTTCCTTTGCTTTAAACAGTTCCGTCGGGTATCTTTCCCATTCGTTTGCTGGTATATTATTGTATTCCTTGAAGACATTGATGATAATATTATTTGTGAAGAATCAATAAAATCGGATATTTCAGGTACATATGAAATACAAGTGATTGGGAATTCTGACGATTCTGATTATGATATTCCTCTGAACCACAGATAAAACGACCAAAGAAAAAAACCAGACAAAAATAGTAAATCCAAATTTATCTCAAGTTTTAATAAAGGATATTCATTCGTGCTCAGTAGTAATTCAACATTAGCCTGATTGATATTTAGACATTATAAAAGCCAACCATGTAGGAAAGTCATATATTGAAGTTTTTTTACTCTTTTTGATAAAAAAGTAATTTAGAATAACCGTCACAATTTTGAAATAAATAACATAGATTTAAATAAAATTATTAGCATATATATATATATTATATATATATATATATATATATATATATATATATATATATATATATATATATATTATCTGGTTTACACTTCGCTTTAAGTTGATATGCATTGATCAAAGGATGGGGATAAAGAACTGCATATTATAAGAGAAAGCATGAGTCGACATAGATTTATAATTTTAATTTATAATAGTGAAGAAACCGCTACATCAGTGTCACTTAGTATATGGACGTCAATCTAAATTTGCTTTACCAGATGAAACCAGATTCGACAATATTGGCCACATTACAAAAAGAGGCGATAGTGCAAAAATCTAGGATGTACAAAAGTAATACTATTTATTTATGTAAAAAGTTTAGAATGCATCTACACCCCGAATGTTTCGAAAATTTTCACCTTAAAATTTAATTTACGTTTAAGATACAATATGTTCCTTTATTAAAAATTGTACTGTTTTCCTTGAAAATGAAAAAAAAATTTTTTTGGTTGTGAATCAGTCCTCATTTATGTGTTTTTAATCGAATCTAATAAATTAATTGTCAAATTTCTCTTTGTATATTGAGCGTCCGTTGAGGGTTTAATACTATATAAAGAATAAACTGGCCTCAAATTTACTTTACTTACCTTAAAACTATTTTAAAGTTAATAATAAAGTCTATTTAATAAATATATTCCCAATAACACACTAACGCTTATGCACAAATGTTTATAATCTGGAAAGAATAAACTAAGATATCATATTTCTCTCATTAACATTCTTTCTAAGAACGTAAATATATATAGACCAGCAAAATATTATTGATAAGTTTACCGATGTTTCAAACTATTCGTTGAACTTGTCTCGCTATACACTCGTGAATCGCATTAATTTATATTGTTACGGGGGCAAATTTATCTTACATGGGTTACAAATTTAGATACTTACATGGGCGAAACATACACAATAAAAATGACCCCGGTAAGAATTTACTAATGAAATATTACATGGTTGCCGCTACCGTTTAGTTTAATTTGTAGATTAGTCACCTTTAATTGAAAATTGTTCGACTATAGTTAAATGCTACATTTTTTCGACTTTACTATATGGCGTGGAGGCCTGGACTCTGACAGAGACGCTCACGAGAAAACTAGAAGCATTCGAAATGTGGGTTTACCCACGCATTCTTCGTATACCCTGGACCGAACATATCACCAACATAGAAGCAATCCAAAGAATCGGAAATGAGAAAGAAATCGTTAGCACAATTATACAAAGAAAGCTTGAATATCTAGGCCACATATTGAGACACGATAAGTACCGTCTGCTGCAATTGATTGTCCAGGAGAAAATAGACAGTAAGCGAGGGCCGGGCAGCAGAAGACACTCGTGGCTCCAAAATCTGCGAAAGTGGTTCGGGCTCACATCGATCGAACTATTCAGAAGCGCCGCAAACAAAATCAGAATTGCCATGTTAATAGCCAACGTTCGCAACGGACAGGGCACGTGAAGAAGAAGCTTCTTACGAGCGAGCTAGTAAAAGTGTGTTAAGTAGAGGATTCTCTAACATATATTTTTCGTGTTTCATGTTTAATCTTTCATGTTTCCACAGATTGTTTAGTAGGAGCATATCATAATTCTAGTTTTAAACAATTTAACAATTATCTGAGTTTCGGCTCACTATAACCAACCATAAACATATCCCTTCTGTGATAATTGCTTTTTTTTTCATTAAAGTCAACTAAAAATTAATATTTTTTTTATTTAAGTACAACGGACTACGAAACACCTCTTCAATTAGCGATACATTGCCGGCTAAGAGAAGTAGTTGATGCGTTATGTACAAGAGGCGTCGATATGTCATCACCCGATAGACTCGGAAGTTGCGCTTTGTGGACTGCTCTGGACTCTGGACAAGAAGATATTGCAAGCATCCTTGTTAAACACGGAGCTGATACAGATTGTTGGGGATCTGGACCAGAGGGATGTCGGCAAACTCTTCTGCATAGGTAAGCAAGGCGATTATAAAAAGATACGTGATATCACATTTTGTTCTATAGATGTTTTAAATAAACTTTTCTGGTCCGTTTGTCACATGACACCCTATGATTAGTTAAGTCGTCAGAGCTTTGACCTTTAAAAATTATACGAACAAGCTGAATTTTGCTGAGAATGTCAATTTTGGGACCCCAAAGAAGATATAAAGAAGTTTATCATTTTTACGTCAAGGCTTTCCCCTAAAACCCCCTAAGAGAGAGGGAAAACGGCAAAAAATCGATTTATCAAGAATCTGTACAAATATCTGTATCAAACAAATATTTCAAATAAAAAATGTAGCTGAAATATTTTCGAACAGAGACATTTATTAGCAATTTTCGTGTAGAATGAATCGTTCTTTCAGAAATAATTCTTAAACCGACCGGCATTTTCAATGTTAGTTATGCGCGCGAAATCAATTTTAAATAATAGTTCATCAATCAATAGGTCAGATCAACTTGACAATATAAATTCGATATCTTTTGATAGAATTGTTCTATCGATAAAAATCAAAATGCGTTGTAAAGGTTTTTTTTATTTTAGTCTGATGGCATTGGCCGAGCCAATTAGCCAGACAAATTTAAAGATAAACAATTTTAACAATCAGAGGAATTTTTTACAGTTAGAGGAATATACATACAATCATCCGTACAATCTAACGTGCAATTGTTAATAAATTACATTTTTTAATTAAATTAATTACATTGTTAATAAATTAATTCTTTATATATATATATATATATATATTATATATATATATATATATATATATATATATATATATATATATATATATAATATATATATATATATAAGGTAGTCCAAAATTTTTTGACTAGTTTGGAAAAAATATGTAAATACTTTTTTCTTTTTGGGTGTGGTAGTCAATAAAAAATAGAGCTTTGCTAAGGCGTACTATTTATTCTGAAATCCGAGCTTTCGGTGGTTATTTGCCACCTTTATCAAGGTCTACAATGAAAATTACTGTGTTATAACATTAGGCTGATGTAATATAAAAGTTATAAAAACTTACCAGAAAGTAAGATTCATAGCATATAAAACACAACGTTAAATAACATAATGTGATCTGAATTATTGAAGGCATTAAAAATTTTAAAAACTTTAAAATACTTAAAAATTAAAGAACATGTTACAAAGTTTAAAAAGTAAAAAATAAGACGACATGTTTGACAAAAAACAGTCGTCTTCGCAGGTTTGAATTCAGTCACATCTCACGAACAGAAAGAGGTAGTAGGAGGAACTATTGTTGTTTAAATAGTTCGATGTAACTACAAAAAACAAACTTTCAAACTGATGTCTAACAAAATGCCGTTTGTGATTTTAAGTACTACCAACCATGTTATTAACTTAGAATTGAGAGGGGAATTTAAAAAAAGGTTTTATTATGTCAAAAAATAAAAAGAAAATAGTATTTAGTAAGTAGGTTTGAAAAAACAAACAACCAAAACAAAATGAAAATCTGAATAATAACTGAAGTTAATCATGATAATTATAGCAATTAATAATGGAATTTACGAAACATGAAGCACTCTGAGATACAGAAAACCCTAGTCAAAAGTCAAAATAAAATTGTAAATTTTGCTAAGATTTATATATATATATATATATATATATATATATATATATATATATATATAAATAATTTTTATTTTTTTTTAATTTTTTTTAATTTTATATAATATATATATATATATATATATATATATATATATATATTTAATAAATATTATTTTTTTCCATTTTTTTTCCTGTTATAATACAATATTTACTTAAATATAAGGGTTAATTTTAAGCTACAATTTATATTTACAGTTTTTGATATGTTCGTAAATCGATTTTAATATATTGATATCTCTAGAAAAATCAAATTGTTCAGGTAGACGGGAAGTGGAATTTTTAATATAATAAGATTATCATAAAATTTGTTTATGTTTACTGATTCGTGGGAACATTCAAGGAAAATATGTAATACGTTACCTTCTTTTCCGCACTTGCAATTAGGTGACTCCGCGAGACCCAACTTGTACATATGAAGGGGGGTAAGAGCATGATTAAATCTTAATCTTTATAACCCTTATGAAATGGCGATTTGATAGAGTATGAAACCATCTTTTTATGGGTATTTCAGGCTGCATTTGTTTGTAATTATTTCCAGTTTTCGTTTTATGAACTTAGGTTCATAAAAAAACTTAGTTTGATACTAAGACATTTTTATATATTTTTTCCGACGTTTCGGCAGGAAATCCATGCCAATTTTTTTTATGAACCTAAGCCCAAGAGAATCCACTAATATATATATATATATATATATATATATATATATATATATATATATATATATATATATATATATATAATATATATATATATATATATGTGGGTGTATTATGTGTATTTACAAACATTATGTAATTAGAATCCAAACCTTTGTTTTATCCCATTTGTTAATACCTCCTGCCCGTGACCTAGTCTAGTTTGTCTTAATAAAAATGTCTTGATGGGTCCCTAGACAAGAAACGAGTGGCCATGTTTTGTATCCCTATCTTATCCTTAATAATAATAATAATAATAAAAATACAAATATTTTGTGGCAAATAGACAAGTTCTAATGCCATCCACTATCTACACACACACTGATCTTTATACCTACTCCATATTTATGTACTTTAGTCTCCAGCCTATAAAAGCATTTATAATACGCGTATTTACACTTTTTTTATGAGACTGTAAAAGATATTGAGACTGAATTACAAACTCCTTTTAAATCCAGTGGTTAGAAATTATCTAAAATAATTATTCTCATGAGTTCTTAGTATGTCCTTATATATAAAATATTATTCTTAAATTGTTTAATGTTGCAACGCCATGCGTCAGTACATAGCTGTTTCTACTATCTACATGATAAATTATTCTGTTGAACTGCTCGCCAAAGCATACGAAAATCTTCTGTAGCATAAAAAGCTTGAACAAAATAAACAAGCTTAATTATTATAAATCAACATCAAATTAATAATAAATCTTTTTTGAACTTAAGGGCAATAGATGAAAATAAGGAGTCGGAAGCTATCTTCCTCATTCATGCTGGTTGCGATTTGAATACACCTAGGATACAAGGACCTAATGGGGAAGGAGGGGATGAAGCGAAAGATAAGCGATCTCCTTTGCATTTGTGTTGCCAGTGGGGTTTAGAACCAGTAGTTAGGGTAATTATTAGAACTTTTCTATAATTCGTATACCGTAATTTCGAGTGACATTGACTCACTTTCTAAGTTTAAATGTATATAACAGTATTCTGAATATATAGCATTTTTTCATATAAAAAAGCTTGCACGTCATTCAAGATTTACGTCGTCAGAACGCCACAGCGTTGCCAAAACATCAGAATAGTTAGTAAGTGAAGAATTTTTAAAATGTCAACTATTTATCAAACTATTATATTAACAGTAAATACACTTAGTTTTAAGACTACCGCAACACATTAAAATATATAGGAAAATATTTTAATACAAAATTATCTATTCTAAGTTTTAAACTTACCTATTTTAGGGCTTTAATAGTAAAAACGTCCCGACATTATTTCTTGTTCAAAATAATCTACATTATATGAAAGCTTATCAGCTTTCTACAGACTATTTATTTGTTTTGGCATATCACAATCACAATACACAACAATAATTAGTTTTTAAAGCCATTAATATAAATTTAATATATATTTATAAAAATTTATTAATATATATATATATATATATATATATATATATATATATATACATATATATATATATATATATATATATATATATATATATATATATATATATATATATATATTATGATCAAATTGTGTAAGAAAGTAAAATACATAAACAAATTCCTACTCTAAAAAAGCGGCAACATTTAATACACTTTTGCCACCCGCTGAACTGTCAATATAATTTGAAGTATTTCCGTATCAGTTGCTTACAACTGACTAATATATTTAATTAAAATTATTATTTTGTGGAATATTAGACTTAAAGAGTTATTTCATAAAATTTATAATATTAATAATACCAAATGTTTTTGGTTATTTAATCAATATAATTCTAAAATTTCCAATAATGATTACATTTTTCTGATTATTCCACCATGTTGACGCCTATGAAAGATCGAGCAGTTCCGTATGGGTTTCGTATTATTAGCTGTGTTAGGAAAATTTGAACTCTAAAGTTGATGTTCTGGAAATTTTTGATACAAGTGATGTCACTTTGTAGAAATCGTGACGTGCAAGTGTTTTACTTTGAAAAATGGTATATAAAAGTATGTTTCTTTATTTATTTGTGTTTGAGTTTGTGACTACTTTTTACAAAAATTACACTAAAACACAAAGAAGCGCTTACTTTATTATAAAAAAATAAATGTGTGGTGTGCAAAGTTACCTGCTAGTGTCGGGTGACTTTGTCTCAAGCTACATTTTACATTTATTCTCTGTGATTATTATTGTTTGGGCTAAAGTCACCCTAGAAAATGAATTAGAAACAAACATTTTGTTAGGTATAAAAATATTTATCGGAAGTATGGGACGTCACTAAAGTTAATAGAAACAAACATAGAAAGAAAACAATTAATCTTCTTAACAAGACATTGGTACATGTAGTCCAGAAGTCAAGTCTTACTGGAGCCAATGGAATTGTCTAGTCCTTAAAGATGATCTTATGTATAGAAATTTTGAGAACGATGATGGTACAGAATATAAGCTTCAGTTGATTGTACCTAAAATTTTGTAAATTTCTTGGTGTCAATAAGACCAGAACGATACCCCTGCATCCTCAATCAGATGGAATGGTCGAGAGGATGAACCAAACGATGGGTAAACACCTGTCGAAAGTTGTATCAGAACATCAAAGAGATTGGACCAGGACATTCATTTATTCTTAATGGCCCACCGCTCGGTCGTGAATGAAACTACAGGCCAGACTCCAACCTGCCTGATGTTAGGTCGTGAAGTTCGTTTGCCTTGCGACCTAAAGTTTGGCTGCAGACCTTCCGAAGAACATGTTGAAAGCAAAGATTATGACGACCGCCTGAAGTTAAGAATGAACAACATTCATGAACTTGGCCGACAACACATCCAGTTAGCCAGTGACAGAATGAAGGATCAATATGATTCTCGGTGCAAGAATGAAAGCCATGAAGTAGGTGATCTTGTTTTTATTTTTAATCCACAACGTTGTCGTGGCTTGTCTCCTAAACTGCAAAGACAATGGAAGGGTCCGTATGACATTAGAAAAAGAATAAATGACGTAATATACCGAATTAAGAAGTTCGCGAAAGGTAAACCAAAAGTAGTTCACATAAATCATCTTGCACCTTATGCTGGCTCAATTTAAACAGAAGAAGCACGAACCCTTCAACATTTGATCAAAGATGACCGGCGATCAATCTTGAATTTATAATGAATTTATGTCAAATTACGCAGAGAGAAAGAGTGCTAGATTCGGCGTGACCACAGACGTTCAGGAGGATTTTTTTAGTGTTCCGCATAACGTCAATCTAGCAAACTGTGTTGCCCAAGATTTTGAGATGACTAAAGGCATCTCGTCCGTATTTTTTAAAGAAGTTCGATCGTTTGGACGAGTTAAAAAATCAGCACCGTAAAGTTGGAAGAGTACTGAGATTAGAAGATGGACCTCGATCTTTGCTGTATATGGTGACCAGGAAACCGTATACAGACAGGGCAATCTACGGGGATATATGGCGTGCTATAACTAATTTAAAGAAAATCGTGTGCAATTATGACATCAAGAATTTGGCCTTGCCCTAGATAGGCCATGCACTAGAAAATCTGGATTGGAAGATTGTCAGAAGCATGTTTGAAGTGATCTTCCGAGAAACCGGCGTACAAATTACTGTTTGTTGCATTAACCCGAAGAGATCGTGTCCTTCACAGTCAGTAGACTGTTATTTCTTCTTGAGGGGTTCATGCAGAGCTGGAGAGTCCTGTAGATTTTGTCATCCTGGGCCTTCATGTAAAGTTGCTGATCGGGACGTTCAGATCTAAGAGGGGAGAAGTGTAACGAAATGGCCCACCTCCGATGAGTTATACGCGTCAGAATTCTTAGAAGGATGAATCTCGAATATACAATCGATGGCATTCTCAATAGCGCCTGTCTTCGAGACGCTTCCATCTGGAAGTCTAGAGATGGACTACTCCAGATGATTCTAGAATAATACTTTTGGTATATATATATATATATATATATATATATATATATAATATATATATATATATAAATATATATATATATATATATATATATATATAAATATATATATATATATATATATATATACAGTGTAGGAAAAATTTTATGGTCGGTATGGACCTTACGTGAGATGGAGTGAGAAACAGCTGTTTAAAAAGAGAGAGGTATATTAGGTACGCCCTTTATATCGCCGAATGGAAATATTAAAAAAGGGGAAATTCAACGTTGCCAAACTTATTGGTTTTATTTGACCTGTTGTCTTTTTTTGCATTTGAACAATGTTCTATCAAGAAGATAAAATGCTCAAGATAATCAAATTTGGGCGAAATTAATTTAAATGGCAGGTTACTGTTTTTTTTTATTGGGAATATGCCACAAGTTTTCTTTACAATAATTGTAATATAACATTTTAATTTCCATTTCGGAAATCGTTTTATATAAATAAAATTTATTAATGTTTCGTATTTTAAGTACGATTTCCGAACTAAAAATCTAAACATCAAAATAATTTCCCAATATGAAATAATAAACAATTAAACATGCATACAATAACGCCAAATTAAAAAATATTCATACACTAATTTATTTGGCAACGTCTAGTCTAGATAGTCGTTTGGTCAAAAGATCGAGTAAGGAGAAGTAGAGGTGGGTCGTGCTAGTTTATCGTTAAGAGCGTAGGTGCAAAATTTCGAGCCAATGTTTTTTAAATGCATTCATTTTTTTCGAATCCTGAGAAAACTAATAAATATTTTTGAAAAAAGTAAACGCAGAATGAAACAATACATTATTACCGAGAGCTGAAAGTCCCTGAAAACTTCTATAATGTTTATTTTAATAAGTTATAGGGATGAAAAAAAAAACAAAATTTAGTGTGATTTTTAATTTCAAATATCTCATTAAAAAAACTTTTTGTTTATTCTAAGGGACCTTCGGCCCTCGGTAATAATGTAATCTTTCATTCTGCATTTAAATTTTTCAAAATATTTGTTAGTTTTCTCAGGATTCCAAAAAAATTTAAATTTTTTTGAATGCTAAAAAGCATTTAAAAATTTTAATTTTCATAAACAAGTAACTATGATTGTTTAAAAGTAGTTTCAAGTAAGATAGTACCTACATAAACAAACATAACGGCTATTATCGTTTATGTGTATATCTTTTGAAGTGAAAGAAACTACCTAATGATATATTTATTATAACTTGAAAAATAAACTAAACAATCATCATCATCATATAACGGGGGTCCTACGGCGATTGCCGCTTCCCGCATTTCAGCATCCATCTTTTCCTATCTCCCCAATCTCCCTCTTCTAAGCCTCTAGATTGCATTGTTTTTGTAATTTCTCTTCTCCAGGAATTTGGTGGTCTTCCCCTTTTCCTTCTTTCTGGCGGAACATACATTAAGGCTTTCTTTGGCCACCGCTCCTCCTCCATTCTCATCACGTGACCATACCATTGTAATTGCCTTCCTTGTATTCTATCTGAAAGAGTATCTCTAATTCCTGTACGGTTTCGTATTTCCTCATTCCTGATTCTTTCCATTCTCGATACTCGACATGACCTTCTAAGATAATCCATTTCCACAACGTCTACTTTATCTCGTTCATTCTTTGTCATCGTCCAACATTCGGCACCATATGTGGTAATTGGTTCTACAATTGCTCTGTATACGCGAAGTTTGGTATGCATCTTTATTTTATTAGACCACAGTAATGAATTCAGTATTCGGATGCATTTTTTCCCTTGGGTTATTCGGTTTTGTACATCTATCTTAACTCTGCCATCTGCTGATATGATGCTTCCTAGATATTTATACTGGTTGCAGCCTTTTATGACTGCGTTTTCAAGCCTCAGATCTGTGGTATTTCCTCCAATTTTTAAATATTCTGTTTTAAATATTCTGTTCTAAAATAAACAATACAAATAGTAAATCGGACTTACATTTACATTACACGTTATTA